GCCGGCCGGGAAGGCAGCTCAGCCCGGCACTGCCGCCGGGGTCGGTTCGCGGGGCTCCCGTATCCGGCCGCGCCGGCCGAGCTAAGGGCCCGGGAGACGGGGAGGGAGAGAGGAGACGGACGGACGGATGGACGGACGGCCGGTCTCAGGCGGTCCGCAGAGGTATCGCGGGAGTCCTCTCTGCTGTTCTTACTCCACAAGTTAGAAATCCCCTCCAAACGCAAGCCTGTAACCCCAGCACCTGGGAATCTGACGCGGGAGATCCAGAAACCCAGGGCAGCCGAGCTACTGGAGACACCTTGTCTCAAGATGAGTAAGAAGGCCGGGCAGGTGGCTCACTGTCAGCCTAGCTGCTCAGGAGGCTGAGATCTGAGGGTCGCGGTTCAGAGCCAGCCCGGGCAGGAAAGTTCGTGAAACTCTCACCTCCAATAAACCGCTAGAAAACCGGAAGTGGCGCTGTGGCTCAAGTGGTAGAGCGCTCGCCTTGAGCTGAAGAGCTGAGGGACAGCGCCCAGGCCCAGAGTTCAAGCCCCACGACAAAAAAAAATCAAGATGAGTAAGAAAGATAGGGCAGGCTGGGTGTGTGGTAGCGTGGAGGAAGGTCTGCTTTCACAGTTAGAAACAAATAACTGAAAAGACAAAACCAGGCCAGACTGCAGAACCAGGTTCTGCCTCAGTTTCCCCATTTGCAACACAGTATCCTTACAGGTTGGATAAGTGGGGGGCGGGGCTAGCAAGAGTTCCCAGAATCAGCATACCACACTCCCTGTGATTCTGTTGATTAACAAGGTTGAGATTCTCGGGCTGGGAAGGTGGCTTTGTGGTACAGTGCTTGCCTAGCATGCATGAAGCTCTGGGTTCCATTCCTTAGTACCACAGACACAGAAAAAGCCAGAAGTGGCACTGTGGCTCAAGTGGTAGAGTGCTAGCCTTGAGCAAAAGAGGCTCAGGGACAGTGCCCAGGCCCTGAGTTCAAGCCACAACACTGGCAAAAAATTAAATTAAAAAAAAAGAAAGCCAGGCCCACCAGTGGCCTACAGCAGCTACTCAGGAGGCTGAGACCTGAGGATCTTGAAGTTGATCATCTCAAAGACAAAGATTCTAGAAAACAGAACTGGGTCAAAAATAAATTTACTGTTTGATTCAGAGTGAGTCAGCTTCTCTGTTGTAAAGAAGCCACCCTTCCCACCCCTACACATCCTGCCTACACCCCACCCACAAACAAGATCAACCTGCACACTGCATCATTGGAGGTAAGAGTCTCTCAGACATTCCTACCTAGGCTGGCTTTGAATCAAGATCCTTAGATCTCAGCCTCATGAATAACTAGGATTATCGGTGTGGGCCACCAGCACCCGGCTTGAGATGTAGCTTTGAAAGGTGAAAGCTAAGAGTGTAGGTCAGTGGTAGAGCATGTGCTTCAAATGTACAAGGCCTTGGGTTCAATCCCTGACACAAAAAACCTAAGCTGGACACCAATAGCTCACATCTATACCCTACCTACTTAGGAGGCTGAGATTTGAGGATCATGGTTCAAAGCCAGCCTCAGCAGCAAAGTCTATGAAACTCTCCAATAAACTTCCAAAAAAGCCAGAGGTGGAGCAGTAGCTCAAGTGGTAGAGCATTAGCCTTAAGCAAAAAAGCTCAGGCACAGCGCCTGAGCCCTGAGTTCAAGCTGGCACCACACATTCACACAAAAGATGAGTTAAAAAAGATACTCAGTAGGCTGGGAAAGCGGCTTAGTGGTAGAGTGCTTGCCTAGCATGCATGAAGCCCTGGGTTCAATTCCTCAGTACCACATTCATAGAAAAGGCCGGAAGTGGCGCTGTGGCTCAATTGATAGAGCACTAGTCTTGAGCACAGAGAGGCTCAGGGAACAGTGCCTGAGTTCAAGCCCAGGACTGGTAAAAAATAAAAGTGGTACACAGTTCCAAATAAACTGCATGGTAAGTGAAAAAACACCAGTTATATGGTGGTACCGTAAGAGAAAGGGTGAAGAACGAGTGGCACTAAACGTGGGTAGAACAGACACCTGTGGTTCACGCCTGTAATCATAGCTACTGAGGATCGCTGTTGGAAGCCAGCCAGGGCAAGAAAGACTGTGAGACTATCCCCAGTTAACCACCAAAAAGCCAAAGTGGAGCAGGAGCTCAAGCGGCACAGTGCCAGCCTTGAGAGCAAAGCACAGGGCCGTGCCCGTGGGGGTGGAACTGGGGGGGGCCTGTTTGTCCCCCGTCGCTGCGGGGTCACTGAGTCCCAGTCCTTGTCCTTCTGCGCCCCCCAGGTGAAACAAGAGCTGGAAGAGAAAGAAAACCGCAAGTTCTCCATTTTCAAAGCTCTGTCTTTCAAGAGCCAGGTGGTGTCAGGGACGAACTACTTCATCAAGGTGGGTCTGGGGCTCTGGCCTGCCCTGGGGTGTGGTGCTCCAGGCACGGTGCCCATAGGCACTGTCCTTACAGGAGGAGCTGGGCGGGGCCCGGGGTGGGTGAGCTGTGCTGCGCCGCACTGCGCACTGGCGTCCCGGGCAGGGGTGCCGTTACAGCTGAGCAGAGGTCTGTGGCGGCGGCCCCAGCCCTCCCAGGACTGAGACTCCTCTGCACCTGTCTCCCACCAGGTTGACGTGGGGGGTGAAGAATTTGTGCACTTGAAGGTGTTCCAGAGCCTGCCTCATGAAAACAAGCCCCCAGCCTTGTCCGCCTACCAGAGCAACAAGAGCCAGCAGGATGAGCTGGCCTATTTCTAGTCCCACCACGCCAGGGGGCCGGAAGGAAGTGTCGGGTTGACCTCTGGGGTGCGGGCACCTGGCTGAGTTGCGTCTCTTACTTCCGTCCTGTCCTCAATTTCACTATTGATTTTCTTTCTCACAGTTAATGATCGTTATTTTCAAACTCAAATATATTTTTTAAAGTCAATACTGCCTTTTCTTGGGGGGAGTGGAGTAGGGGGTCTGCACAGGGCTTAAACTCAGGGTCTGGGTGCTGTCTCTGAGCTTTTCTGCTCAAAGCTAGGGCTCCACCACTGAGCCACAGGTCTACTTCCAGCTTTTTGGTGGTTAGTTGGATAGACTTTCCTTCCTGGGCTGGTTTTGAACCACCATCCTCAGGTCTCAGCCGCTTCAGTAGCTTGGATTACAGGCATGAGCCACCGGTGCCCAGCCCGTCTTCTTTATCTTGGAATTTCTTTTTGCCTTCATCTGAAGTCGGGGTGGCCCCTGGCACTGCCCGAGGCCTGCCAGCGGCCCCTGCTGCCTGGGAAGGAGGAGGCCGTCTCTGGCGGAGCAAGTGCCAGTCAGGGGCTGCCCAGGCTCCTCAGGCTGGCACCGCCGGGTGGCGGGCCCAGGCCCCCAGCCCAGCCTCACCCTCCCCACCACGCACGGCCTTCCGCACTGTGTGTCCATTCCCACTCTGGCCACGCAAGGTGGCCCAGAGAGCTAAGGGTGTTCTCATGGCTGGGGGGAGCCGGGCGAGGCCACCACAGCCTCCGGCCCTGTCTACCCGCCTCTGGGAGGGCTGCCGCAGGGCGGGCTGGGGGGCTGGGTTCTCCGCAGCTGGTCACCACTTGGTGCAAGAGAAAACTGCAGGCCTGGTCCTGCCCCGGCCGCCCCTGACTGGGCATAGCTCAGGACACCATCTCTCCCGCCCGTGCTCCTTCCCTTCCCGTAGCTGAGTGCCAGGCTGAGCAGAGCTGCACGAGTCACCCATGGCTTCCACCGCTGGAGCCAGAGTGCCTCCTTCCCCACCGCGACACACCCCTGCACCCTGCGAGGTGCTAGCTCATCCACCAGCGTCAGACACCCGTTCAAAGAGGTGCTTCCCGCCTTGCGGGCAGCAGGCGTGCCCACGTAGCCAGGTGGCGCCAGACCCCGGGGAGTGGGCCCGGCAGGGGTGCCAGCAGGTCGCTCACCTGTGGCGTGCTGTGGACGGCACCCCTGTGCCTCTGTACAGGACAGGCGAGCTCTCTACCTCTGGGGGGCAGCTATCTGGCCTAGTATGGCAAGGGGCCAAGAGGAGTTGCCCCCCTCCCCCCTCGGCAGTGGGCACCACCCTCCCCCGCCCCAGGACCAAGTCATCAAAGAGCAGAGGTGCCCAGGCCACTCTTGCCTGGCACTACCCTGGGCTCTGGGGCCAGGAATGCAGCCCAATGGACGCAGCCCAAACGCACAGGCCCAGGGGCCTCAGGGCCCTGGGAAGGCTGCTGGGCCCTGGCCGGACGAGGCTGGGGCTCGGCTAGGAGACACCTGCACCGGCAGGCACTGTGGACGCCCTCACTGGCGGCTGGCGGCCATGACCAGGCTCGCAGGTCAGGCGGGCAGCGTCCTATCCGGGGCATCGTCGGTCACCAGTGGAGCCTGTGACCTGCCTCCCATCAAGCTCCATGTTCCTTTGGCTGTGAGTCCAGCCGGGGAGCCTAGAGTGCGCCAAGGAGCACAGGCGGCAGCCAGGTGCCAAGGGCTGCTGTGCCCCCCCCCCCCAGTCCATTTGGAATTGTCTGAGTCTGCACAGCTGCCACAGGACCCTTACCCATGAGGGCGGTGGCTGCAGCCAGGCTACTGCAACTGCAGCGTCCTGTAGCACTGCAAGTGGCTAGGCAGCAGGCCACCCC